TTGTTTTTCCGACCGTAGTTACGTTGCATGAGCTCAGGGCTGGACCCCTAACACCTACCCGGCCGAAGAACATTTTGGCATTGGGTGGTCTCAGCATTAAGGCCACCCCTACCATGGGCGCTGAGTCGGTAAGGACGTGAAGAAGCCGACCGAACGTGCCCTGTCGGGGCATTTCGGCTAGACGAGACAGATGATGTACCGATGTGTAGTGAACAGCGTGCAGTTATGTATTGCACGAGATATGACCGCTGACGGCCATGCCGCGGGGTGCATCGATCGTGCGTTACTGCTGCAGGGGATGGAAGGACATCGATCCTTCAAGTGCGAAGTCAAGCCGTGCGAGCCTTGTAGAGGCAAAACAAACACAGCGCCCGAATAAGGCATAATAGGGAAGCAAGCCTACAAGTATTAAGTACAGACGTACGAGCCTTGTATGGGTGCACTATTCAGGGCCAGCGGCCACTTATAAGGGCGACTACCCAAACTTAGAGAAATCGTTATCCTTGCCCGGGCACGGGCACGTATGCTTACATTATCGTCATCCTCTCCTGGCCACATGCACAGATGCTCAGATCGTCGCGGCTACCGTGGGCGCTTGGGCACGGGCGCGAACCTTTTTTACTGTGGATGGGGATCTGACCGCTTGGTCACTGCCCCTCGCCCACTGCGCGCTTTGACGGCTGGCATGTTGCCAGTCGCCCCCCTTGATGTTTTTTTGGATGGTCGCGCGGTCTTGCCCGTGACCATCCCTAATCATATGTGGCTGGTCATGGCAATGTGCCATGACCAGCCCTGATGCCCTGTGTTGTTTTTTCCTGTGCTTGCCTTTGCGCTGCTGGGGATGTAGAAAATCAGCATCTCCATCATTCTTTATTTCCTGTTGTAAAACACAGATCTAGCGTTCGGTCCCTCCCCTCGCGATTGTAAATGAGGTTTAAGGAGAGGTTGTGTGGCGAACGCTATATCCGACGCTGTCTTGGCTCAAGACAGCGCTGTCCTATTGGCTTGTTGCACTTCCGCGTGCGACTTTGTGAGATCATAGCATCGGACGAAAACCACGTCTATCTATGATCCGCCCCTCTATCCCATGGTTTTCTTTTACCTCCCGTCTTGCTGGCCATCGAGGGATGAGTCGTGAGATGCTTCGATGCGGCGCCGACGTTATCCTAAGAGTCGGGTTCTCAGCTTATCACCTCGTGGTCGAGCCCTGTACCCTTACTTTTCACTGGGAGTGCGGTGGTGGGGACAGGGGCGACAGGGGTGGGTGCACTCGACAGCCGAGGTCGCAAGTCCACGCAGGAGTGTCCCTGGGCGCACTCCATCGAAGAGATGGAGCAGTCCCGCTCCAGAGGCAAGAAGAAGGCTTGCATAAAGGGGATCCAGGGCCCCAGCATCTGCCCAACCCTCGGCTTCCTGCCCCCCCCAGCCCTCGTCCCTTTTCTTTGCTTCTTCTTCCCTCCCTCTGTCGCTCTTGTCTTTCCTCCCCGCCTCTTCTTTCTTTTGCCAGCTGAGGTGGGATTGGGTCGTTTGCCGCATGCGCAGTCGCGGCTTGTTGGACTCATCCGCAGGGGGAGAGAGAGAGGATGCAGGAATGAGGAAGGCGGGGGCGGAGGAGACGGAGGGACGGAGGGAGAGGAGGACGGAGGAGGGAGGCCGCAAGCTTGAGACCCCATCGAAAGAGAGACACGTAGAACGGCCAGGGCCGCCCACGATCCGATTTCGGATGTGATTCGATCCGCTGGCTGCGGTCGCGGCGTATCGCTCCGATGCGCTGGCGTCGGCCAGGGGCAGTTGGAGCCGGGTCTCGGCGATCTGCCTTCGTTCCGGTCTGGGGCGGCTTGGGACGGTCCGCCCGCGGCCCGATCTGCTTCCAATCCGAGCAGCTTTTTCGCCGCGCCGTGCAGCTCGGGCCCGGCAGCTCTGCGGCGCCGTGCCCAGCCCAGCATGTCGCCTGCCGATGCAGAAGGCCGAGGTTCGGAGGCCGAGGTTCCGGGGCGACGACGGGGGCGAGCGGCCCAAGGGCGGGGATCCCACGCATTCGCCGGGGGGCCTCGCCGAAGGCACTGGCCCTCGGCGCCCTTTGGAGACGTGCATTGTGCTCCCCTGGGCTGTTCGTGAGATGGAGCCCCTGCCGCCCGGCCCCGGTCTGGCCTCAGAGCGGCCCGGCCCATGAACCTTTCCTCGCTCCTGCGTCGGAGCGGAGCGGGGCGTGCCACAGGATCCCTGGGTCGCCATTTCTTCTTCTTTCGCACGAGTGAGAAGTCACGATGACGATACGTCCAAGATCACCAGGATCTCCAGTCTTGTTTTGCCGTTCCGCACGGGCCCCAGAGAAGAGGGCCGCCAGATGCCCCAGGATTTCTGGAGCTTTCCCTGAGCCAATCTTCCCATGGGCGTGCCACAAGGTTCAGGGGGCGCCGTTCTTATCAGCGCTCGGCGTGCGCGGGCCGAGCCTGCGCCGAGCTTGGGCCAGGGACCCTCGAACGCGAGCGCGCACAGCACTGGCCACTTCGACGGCCAGGCCATCGCACCGCCGCCGCCTTGCGCGGACAGAAGGGGCACGAGACCCCAAATCGACAGATCGGATCTACCTGTTTTTTTCGGACGTTCGATTTGATGCCTATCATACGGACTGAGGGCAGATCGTATTCAAACTTTGGTGATCAAGAACTCAGAAAGAGCGCTTTCTGCCGCTGCTGGCAGGGGGGGGCTTCAACCCCCCCCCACCCCCCACACCAAGGGGGTGGGCGCGAACCCCTCCCAGAGCTGCCTTGGGGCCTCTTCGATCCCTGCCAGGCCGTCTTGGACACGTAAGACGAATCGCAGCATGCGCCCAGAGTTTCTGCAGGAGCATCCGAGCGATGTTTCTGGAAACCTCTCCGGGAACATCTACATCGATGTCCCGGAATATTCTATAGGCTTACGCCACATCTGCCGACCCCTACACAAACTACTGCGGCTCCAGAGTCGCATTTCACGAGGCGTGTCCGAATCATGACACGGCGCTCGACATTGTTCCTGTTGCTTCGTTGCTGTTATCGTACCTCTTGGTGTTCTTTTGTGCCTTTTTGGTTGCATCTTGGCCTGTCTGCAGGCCATATCTGGCCGCCTCGAGGCATCTTGGGCCATCTTGGTTGCCTTGTTGCTTGCCTGGGCTGTCTTGGAAGCTCGGGACGCGGTCGCACAACCGTCCAACGAGGGATCGTGGCCTCGGGAGCGTGGCTCCCATGTTAACAAAATGCGAGGGCTCGTGGCCTCGGGGACAGGGGGTATGCATGGGCTAGTCTTGTAGCAGAGGTGTGGGGGGGGGTCCGAGTTAAACACGCTACAGAGCAGCACCTGGCATTCTAGCACGCCCACGTCGTGCAGGCACGATGGCGGATGACGGGAAGCGCCTCCGGCGTGCACCGTTGGTTCTGGGGCTCCATTTCTAACTAAGGGCTACGGATCCCATGCGGCACCTCGCTGGCGGATGACGGGAAGCGCCTCCGGCGTGTACCGTTGGTTCTGGGGAATTAAGCACCGCCAAAGGCTCCCATTTTTCGTTGGCGGATTTCTGTTTTTTTTTTGCCGTTTCGCTCGGGACATCCTCGAAAAATCGGCTCCGGAGGGGGCTCCGAACCGACATCCCCTTGGAGTCGCCCCCGGAGGGCTCCAAGACGGCCCACGGAGGGCCCCAAGAGACCCCAAACGGCCCCCAGGGGGCCCCCAAGACGGCCCACGGAGAGCCCCAAGACGGCCCACGGAGACCCCAAGACGGCCCAGGCTGCCCTCAAGACGGCCTCCGACCTGCTGGGACCGTCCTGCCTCCCCTGGTGACGGGAAGCGCCTCCGGCGTGTACCGCTGGTTCTGGGGAATTAAGCACCCCCAAAGGCTCCCATTTTTCGTTGGCGGATGACGGGAAGCGCCTCCGGCGTGCACCGTTGGTTCTGGGGCTTAATTTTCTCTAACTTTGTGTCGGCCAGGGCTCCTACAGGAGGGAATCAGAGGGGGTCTGTTTTTTTCCCCGCCAGGCTTCTGCAGAGGCTATGTTGGGCCTCCAGAAATTTCCCCGCTAGGCTTTGCAAAAGCTATGCGAAAGCTATGTTGGGGGCCCTCTGAAAAAAAACGCCAGACGTCTCAAAAAGCTATGCAAAAGCTATGTTGGTGCTATCGCAATTCAAAAGAAAAAAACAAATACCTTAAAGCAAATAGGGGATACATTAAGCAGCTTTGTGTTGGCCCAAGAAAGGGCCTTCTGAATCCCGCCCCCAAGGACCTGATCGTTGATATAGTTAAAGCAAAGGGGGTCAAGGGAAACTCGGCCACGCCTCGGGGCCTCGTGAAAGGGGGCAGCGGATTTCGCGACAGGGTCATTGTAAATCGATTGTGTGTAATCCCTAAACGAGCGAACAACCATGGCCTGCTTTCTCGCCGTCCTGTGTAGAGGTGGTCGGTCCACGACACTTGCTGCGCGTTGCTTCACTATCGTCATTCTCTTCTTCGGCTCCACCCTCTTCCTTCTCGTATTTCCCGTCATTTCTGTCATCGTGCATGCACGCCCTCCCTCCTCCTGCTCTGGAAGAGGTTGGAGGGCGTGCATTCCCGATGAAAAGAATGATTGGGGTATGAGAAGGAAGATAGGGGCAGTAAGATAACAGCAACCCACGTGGGACAGATCATTCGATTGGCCCGTTGCCCTGACTGTGCAGTCAGATGCGTGGACACCGAAATCCAAACAGTGAGCTCGAGCCACGCGTTGAAATAGTTCGTTTAAGTTGCCCTAGAAACACAGGTGTCATATGCCCTAGGTACAGGTCGACAGCACTGTTTGGGGGCACGTAGGGATTGTTTGGGCCACGCAAGCACCGTTCGGGGGCAGAGATGTAGAAACAGGCCCAGGCACGGACAACCCAAACGAACTCAATCGCTTGATCGGGCCACCCCGAACACACTCCGAACGCAAGGCTGGCCTAACATAAGGGTACCCCAAAGACTCCGAAGCTCCATAGCCATTTGGGTTTCTTCCATGTCTTTCCATATCAAAATGATTCTTATGTTATCCATAGCAGTTTTGTTCTTTGTCACTCGTATGGTTGACAATGCTCATTGGCTTTCGGCGCTCGATGGCGTGGTTGGTGAATCCCCATTGGATGACGACTGGCCTTCAGTACTGGACGGTTTGGATACTGATCACTGCAGTGCCGAGGCTGGGCAGGTGCAGGCTGACGACTGGAGAGCTCAGCTGGACGACATTTCGGTCGCCTCCGTCGATGAGGACAACATGTCGGTCGATTCCCCTCAGCTGGCTTTGGTCGAGGTCCCGAAGGTCGAGCTGCATGACATCACCAGGGTAGTTCACGTTTCCAAGTGCACGCCAGACGAGGAGCTCGACGAATCGGCCAAGACGGTTGCAGAATACTTGATGGAGAACGATCCGCTCACGGGGCGCTTCACTGACTCAGCGATGGCTGTCGGGGAGGCGCGCAGCAAGTGCAGGGGCAGGATGAAGCTCATGTCAGCGTGTGCGCTGAAGGTCCCCACGGGTTTAGGAAACGCAGGTGGGCGCTTCGTCGTGGACCGAGTGTGGTTGGGAGGCGCTCTCGACTGAGCCACCCCCCATCTACACTCGGTCTACCACGGGCGCCCCCTCCTTTCCCGAGTCCGCTCAAGGTTGAGAGGAACATATGGACTCATGCTGAGAAGTTGCTGGTTGATGCATCAGCGACGTCGGATAGGCTTCAACTCATCTTCTACGTGGAGTACGCCAGCTATGACAGCACAGACTTTTGTTTGACGAGCTCGCAGAAAGTAACCGAAACCCTCGTTGATGGGCCAGCTCTTCATGGACGCGATGCAGGGGATGGAGGTGAGCTTGGACAGATGTCAACCATCGAGCTTGACGAGGCGACGGTGGGCACGAAGAAGATACTACATATGGACACGAACGTGTTGCTCTTACTCAAGATCGACGGCAGATACGCCATACTTCGTGGGAATATGTTGTCTTGGTTGCAGGTTTGCGACAGGAACTCAGCGGCGAACTACAAGACGTGTGATTCAGACTATTCGGTTGGAGTTGCCAACGCATCTGCTTTTGGAAGACGGCTTCGCATCGTGGTGGCTGATGGGTATAGTGCTAACTTGAAGGCTGAGCGCCATTTACATTTCGAGCGTGAGGGGTGGTCACTGCTTCATCTTCTTTGTCGGGTGCACGCGGTTGCTTGGTTCCACACCAAAGTTTACGACATGAATGCGGGCGATATTTCGGGTCTTGTTGCTACTGCACTCTCTCAGGCTTGCTGGTCAGATGAGTTTACTCCGAAAGGCTGCTCGGCGAGTCATCAGACAGAAGTTGTTGATCGTGCCAGGCGTTGCGCTAAATGCAAAGGCAACTGCGTTCAAGAGCTTAGTCATGGATACGTTCTTAGACAGTTCTCCACAGTGCATGGCTTTGCGGATGCTTCTTGAGCGGTGTGCGCCAGGAGATTGGAGAGATCGGCGGCATTTTGTATTCGTTGCCAGGCCCGATGAGTCTCGAGCGGACGTCTTGCGCTTGTTGTTCAGGGAGTTCGTGCCATCACTTTTCCCACGTGCACCTCATTTGTTTCCACGCCACAGGTGGACTGGGGCTGACATCGCATTTCGCGACGTCGGGCTTCCGATGAACATCCACGGTCTCTTCGTTGACACCTACATGAGCTTCTTGGACGTGGAGTACGGGGGCGAGGTTCTAGATGGCAAGCCAGCTGAACTTCCAGTGCCCCCGCTGGCGCTGATGGGCGAGCAGCGTGGCGATCACCAGGACGGCGTCGCCGAGGCAGAGCAGGCTCGCGACGACGCAGACGACCAGGTCCCTGGGGCGGCGTCTGGTGCACAGGCCAAGAAGCCTGATCACCCCCGCAAAGCATTCGCCGACCAGAGCAAGGCTTTCCGTGGCCAAGCGCGCGACTGGCTCGTCACGGAGCCGTCGATCAAGCTTCTCTTCTTCAGATCGGTCTTGAGCCCCATCAAGAGGTTCTTGGAGATGGAGTTGGAGATGGCCAGCGAGGAGTGGGAGATGAAGCAGGACAGCGCCCTGCTCGCGCAGGTCGGGAACACCGCGGTGCTGGGGGGGAGGAACTGGCCGTTGATGAGCGTGGCGAGGCAGACGCTGGAGCATGAGTGTTTTGCCGCTATTTCCAAATGCTCGAAGTCTTTGGAGGTGGACTGCCTTCCCGAGGACCACGTGACGCTTGAGAGCCAGGCCATGTTGTGCAAGCAGCTTTCAAGACAAGGTTGTTGCGTCTATCAATTTGGAGCTGCGATTGGCGCACAGTTTCCTTTCAAATTGTTCTTACTCTTGGACGACGTCGGGGTTGAGGCCGGCGTGCTCGCGTCGTGCAGGTCGAGCCGCGACCAGTCCAGTGACGACTTCGCCGAGTACTGCAAGGACCAGCCTGGCGGGTTAACGAGCGAGCAAGCGCTTCACGAGCTGAGCCTCGTCGTGATGGCCTCCAAGACCTCGACCGTGCTTCTGGAGACTCGCAACGCGCAGATCAGGAGGCAAGTGGAGGCAACGTCTTTACAATCTACTAGGCCTACGCATGATATCATCAGCTCGAGGTTTACTCTGAGAAGGGCATCCACGAGAGAGTCTCGCATTCTGCAGCCTGCTGGGTGTTTCAAGCGAGGGGGGCGGAAGCTAAAACAGCAACGACAGTCAGGAGGTGGCAGCGGCAGCGAAGGCAAGACAACACGGGGTGGAGGAGGAGCTT